TCGCCCCGGGGGGCGGGCCCGCAGGCCGCAAGCAGGATAAGCAGCTTATCCTTAAACGCACAAGCTGCCCCAAACGGACCCTTAATATGGTCAAACAATAGATAATCATGTGTACGTATTTATCTCTATGAAATTAATCTAATTAATATTGATATAATATTTAGGTTGGTATTTTTTAAAATAAAGTTAATACCATTCTAATTTTGCTTCGTCAAATTTAATTGAACTTAAATTTTTAATGAGACGAACTTAATGACATATTAAGTGTTCTGAACCAACTCAACAAGCTTAAATTTATGTATTTATGAAACTAGTTAAGACGATTCAAATTTTGATTCAACATATATTATTTTTGTACATACATTTTTAGTAAGACTTGTCTAATGTTGTAAATAAACCTAAATCAAATACTTTAAACGCAGTAGAATATTTTGTGATTTATGTTAAGAGGCAAATAGCCTATAAATATTCAATGGTTAGAGTCAAAATGATGTTTTCCATAAAATGAATTGAACTAACTCAACAAGCTTAATGTTGTTTATTTTGACTTAATTAAGGTAATTTAATATCAAAAGAATAATCAAACATTAAGTCAATCAATTAAATTTGGTGTTTAAGGATTTTAGTTAAAATTATCAGAACGCCACTACTAAAAAATTATAAAAAAAAGCCATTTTTCACATGAATAACCCTTTTTTTCAACTGAATAGGAGGCTAAAGTAGAAGGGAGAGGTTAAGATTTAAAAAAAAATGTTACTTAGTTTGATGATCAATGTTAATGATCCTTGTTGACAACATCACCGTCACCACCAAGGCTCTATTTGTTGCTCAATCTATGTGCTAGACCCTCATCACTTGATCATCATAGCTCTACCTTCATCGCTCAACTACCAATGATAGATTATCGTAGCTCGATTGTTACTACTTAATCACTATCACCGATTTTACATCATCTTACTATCCGCATCATCCTTCATCCTTCTTCATTACATCTATAATATCCTTGACCAAATTCATATCAAGCTATCATTTTATTCTTCTTACTTCTTTCGTCACTAATTGAGGTAATAATGGGACATTTGCAGGGATACTTTTATGATGAATAATTTTAATTAATTCAAGCTTTATGATTATTTCTTCTTCTAGGTTATCAAGAAAAAAATGGACCCTTTTAAATTCACTTTTTTTGTGTGTATAAGATCTTCTCATAAAATTAAGATTTGAAGTATTATGAAAATTTTTGCATCAAACTTATACATGGAAACTTCATAAACAATTTTATGATAAAGATTGATTATAATTTGTATGATGAAGCAAGATAACAATGTATATGATGAAGCCCACTAATCAAGAAGTTTATGGAATGAGACTAACAATTTTTTTAGTTTATTATTGTATGACCGGATTAGAAAAACTCGAAGTCATAGATACGGTCGACCAAGAATATCTCAAATCACTCTCTCGTGATTCAACTCACAAGAGAAGAACAAAGAAAGAAGGGCCAACGAGCAAAGGGTTATCTTCGTTAGCAAAATTTATTCAACTTATTTCGTTGTATTGGATGATTGACTTTAATACCTTTAAACTCCTTTATACAAAGTGGCATCATAAAGGTAAATGTGTACTAGTGTATCCCCAAAGAATATAATTAGGAAACTCATCATTAAAGGAGGTTGGAAGTTCATTTTTACTGTTCATTTCTTATCATATTAACTGTGTTATATTCCTTAGGCGGGATTCAAGACATTTTTGCGTTTAACACCCTAAAAGGCACGATAAGCGTGGAATCCATGCCTCCAACAAGAAGAGGAGCACAACACAGCGACAAGGCAGCCGCCTGACAAGAGTGAAAAACAAGATATTTAGGTGGCACGTTTTCCCATGTTTTTGATATTTTTATAATATATTATGCTTGAGAAATCTATGTTTTTTCCAAAGCGTTTCTTTTGTTTTGCTAGCTACATTTATATCTTTAATCACTATCACTTTTAGTATTTAAGTTTAAAGAGAATGAGCATGCTACACCTTTTTGTAAAGAGATAGGGGGTGCATCTCTATATTGGACAATTGAAAGTAGAAACCAACTAAAATAATAGCTTATAAGGTTGTAATTGAGTATTTAAAAAATTAAATGTATTGTAATGAAGATATTAGTTGTGTTGCATCTTATTCTTTAATTTATAAATGCTTTGTAATTAATATTTACTAGTTTTACATACTTATTTTCTTTTGTGTAACAAATTTAAGAAAATACTTCAAATTTAAAAGTTATAATTCTATCAATAATAGAGAATATAATACTTAAATAAAAAATTAAAAAAAATTAGCTAAATTCAACAAAATAAAAGATGAACAATATGATTGTAAAACTACTGTGAAAAAAAAAATATTTTATTTAAAAGATATTATGGAATAATATAAATACTTTTCTTTTTAAAAAATCAGACATATATCATAAAATTTTCTTCAAAAGATAAGAAAACAGTAGCTAGATGAGGATGTGATGGTGATTTTATAAAGAAAAAGTAAACACAATAAAAATGATATCCCAAATAAACCCAACACATCAAATGCTCCTCAGTTTGGTTATATGTTGCCATCACAGGCCCCCAGCACACACAAACGCAGCACTTCTGCAAAAAGACAACGTGCACATTTTTATACCTTATTTTATAAAGATTATATTTTACGCAACATAAATATAATACAATTTAACCTCATTCCAATCAAGAAATACAAAAGTTAATTAAATTAATATTTATTTCCATCGCCTGTCAAAGACTAAAAACTTAACCGGAATATACACTTATCTTGCCCATTCCCCAACACGCTCCCCGAAAAACTAATAACCAATAAAATAAAACACCCTTCTACAAACATAAACACCAATTATGCGCTGTTGTGTACGTTAGGAAGATTATTAAGGAGAAATTGAGGAGTTATATCCATGTTATATCCCCTATAATATTTTTATAACCTATTTGTATCTTCTAGTAAGTCTTGCGCTTCTGTTTTCATATATTTGTAGATTACATATAAATTATGTAAATATAAGGCGGATATAACCTTCCAATATCCTCTAAATAATCTTTGTAGGCAATTTTTCCTCCGAGTCAGCTTATATGCCAAATAAATTCTAAACGACATAAAGCCACCTAAAAAGCAGAACAACAAAAAATCAGAATGGTTAGTACAGGAGTCCGCCGAGGAAGGCGACTCCGGTGGACGGAAGCCATGAGGAGCCGAAAATAAAATTAGCGACGGTGAACTTTCCAGCCTCCTCCGGCAGCGTAATCACTTTGTATCCTGGCCACTGTACCCTCTTTCCGACGGCAGCTCCCGGCCCGTAGTTCATGTACTCTCCGTAATATAATGTGTCGAGCGCAAATGTCTGGTTCCACTCTAGCCACCCTCTCGGCTCAATGTGCCCACCCATATACGACAGCAAGTACACCACCCTCGAGTACAGCTTCCATGGCCGGCCAAGAAACGTCTGAGAGCTCATGTTTCCCGCGCTGGCGTTAAGATCGCTCGCTGGTAGAATCTGGCAGTCATGGATCGAGATCCCGGTGTTCTGGTTCGGGTCCTTGCGATTCTGCGCGGTGATGGTTATTTTCTGCATCGTAAGAGGTTTCCGAGCCCAAACGCCGCACTTTTGGCGCACTTTTGGAACACAACAGCGGCGTTGCCGAAGATGAAATCAACAGTTCCGTAGATGTCACATTCTCGGAAGAATTGCCTCTGTGAGTGCACGTAAAGTGTGTCTTGGTAGCCGATGATGCTGCATCGGTACACCACCGCGTGGTCCGCTCCTACTCGCAGCGCCACGGCTTGGTGCTTATACGGTCCCGCCCAATTCTCTATTGTCATGTCCTTCATTATGAATCCCGCCCCTGTCGCGGCTGCAAGCAGAACCAGAAAATTTTTTTTTTCCGCCCGACAAATGTTTGATGAAATTCCGCAAAGAAAAGGAGAAGGAAATTTACATACCGAAGGTGGCTGTGTGGAAGGTGGTGAAGTTGTCGTAGATGCTTCGTGAACCGGCAACGACGGTCTTCCCCTTGCCATCACCAACGAACATGATATTGATCTTTTTCCTTGAGACTTTAATGTTCTCGTCGTATCGTCCGGCCTTGATGTAAATAATTATACGGCGGTAGCTGCCCTCAGGAGCAGCCTTGACCGCATCTTCGATTGTTTTGTGCGTTCCGTTGCCATCCTTGGACACGATGAAGTCCGCCTGTACTATCGGCGGAAGCATCTGGAGGAGTCTCCGATCTTTCGGTTTCACCCATTTCGGGAAAGTATCATCCACGGACAGAAGTCGGCGCTTCCTTCGATTCTCAATGGGAACACCCGCAAAATCCTGGCTTGAGCTCGCGGCGGAGAAAATGGCGAGGCAGTTGCTCACGAGCTCGGCGAGATCTTTCAAGTGCACGGCCATCTGCTGTTTGACATAGCCGTCGGGGATGCCGTCGAGGCCCTCGGAGCAAGTGTCGTGGTTTGTTAGCGCGGCGCTGAGCCAGGTGACGACGTCGTCATGCGCGTGGGCGCCGTGCGAGACGGCGAGGATTGATTGACTGAGCTGGTCGACGGAGTCATCGAGCAGCTCTATGCAGTCTTCGTAGGCAACGCGGATGCGCGGGTCCATGGGTGTTGAGGCCATGGCCGACGCGCCGTAGAGCGCAGCGCCGACGCGGTGCAAGGTCATGTTGAGAGAAATGTGAAGGAGATCGCGCTCGCCGGCTTGTCCCGTGAGCTTGCGGCTGGGTCGGTGGCCATTGGTGCGGGGCACAAGGTTTATGGCTGATGCGAAGAGAAGGAACAGAGTAAGAGTGAATAAGAAGATGCGAGTGGAGCAGAACCGGAGATGGCGACGGGTATCGTTGGCGGTGGAGTTGGATGGGCTAATTCTGTCGTAGCTCATGGTTGAGGAATGCTTGGCGGTGCTTGTGACTGTGAGTTTATAAGGGATGGGGAAGGGAATGGAGGATTAATTTGATGGGTCGGTGAAAAGTCTATTTTTTTTTCTACCGAGCTTGTAGACATGAGCTGGCTTCAACTTTTGAGTGGCGGGCTTCACTATGCGTGTGCCCGTAGAAGGAAGACGACGAAGAGCCGTGGATTTGGTTTTATTATAGGGCATTTACGGTGGATTTTGGGCGGGCAACTCCGCATGCGAGGTTAGATACTGAGCTGTGTAAGCCAGACCCAGCGATGTAAGGAAGAAATACTGACGTCCTTCTATTGTCATTAAGAATGCCTGTATAATATAATTGATAAGAGATCATTCACTAAAGATGTCTATTTAATATAATTGAGAAGAGATGATCTCGCGTTCTATTAGTCACATATTTTATTATATTTTTTTTTTGTAGGGATCGCCTTTTTACTCAAAGGGATGATATTCTAAAGCATTTATTAACGACCGTCTATATCTAATGAGACGAGAGGTTTTAACCAAAACGTCCAAGTAGTTCTCGGCATAAAAAAACTATCTGCCGACGACAACATGAGGTTTTATTCGAAGTATTTGCTAGATAGTCTATTGTTTGACAACTCCACTATTCATATATCGAAACAGCTGCCAATTTTCCTGTCATTTTCTCCGCACTTTTGGAATAATCTCGCGCGGAATTTACTGTCATTAAACCCAACACCTCTCTTTTGTGCAGCAATGGCCTAGAGGGAGCTGGATATTAATGTTCTTTGTTTTGACCTCTTTCAATTTGTTTCCTTAAGAAAATTTGTGTGTTGAAGCATCATGTATCTAAGTACTTAACAAGAGTTTTGCATAAGCTACACAAGAGAACTGAAGGCTATTACACAACCCAAAATAATACAGTCAATCACTCATTAGAGTAAAGCAGCGATCTACCATAGGTTGGCACGGTGTAATGTAAATTGAAGACTGTTACACAACCCAACAGTCTTCAATTTATATGAAAGAATAAAATAACTATATTAACAAACATATTGAAATAGATAGTAATAACTTAAAATGTGAAATTCAAATACTAAATAATGAAAAATTAATTTATATTTCATCTCATATCGACATACATTGAATCTCCTTTTGAAATATTTTACTAAATTACACCTCTTTGAACCATAAGAGGAGAGACCTCTACATAAAAATGTACTTCTCTTTCAAAATATGAAGTTAGTAACTCCTAGCACAAATCACGAAGATGTAATAAGCTTTGGAAAAAGAATTGTTTCTAGCATCCCAAATTGACATGTCATAAACAATTTACAATCTTGTATCTTAAAGAAGTGACGAGTGTAAATGAGTGCTGGAAAATTGTCTTTTAAATGAGTTAATGTTTTTCATTGTTTTAAATGGGTATTTATCAACATTAGAATGAGAAAGCACAAATTTTAATATGTTATAACTTTTTTGCTAATTATTAGAACAAATTTCACCTATATAACATATATATTTTGCTTCAACACACACACACTAGATGTTCATATGTACTATCATTAATAATATTTTTGGTTGTTCATTTTCTTATATAATAAACCATATTTATGAAAATTCTCTCACTAGTAATGTAACTCCTAAGGAATAATCAATCTTCACAACTTGGACATGGTGGAAATTAACTCCTTAATGACTATATATCTAGTGATTATATCTAAAAGAGTAGTTGGAGCATCATATATGTAATTATAAAATTATTTATAATAAGATATTCATATGTATGATCCAATAAAAAATTTATATTTAAGAAATCCTCTATTTTTAATAATATTACAAGTTTCCATAAAAATATATTTCTCTTCCACCTTCTTCATATTTTGGGATTTAGATTTCTTTTACTTGTCAAGAGCACATTCATACAAAATACTAAACTTATTTAGAAAAAAAAGTATTGACTTATTGAATAGTATGAATAATATCATACAAAAGGATTAATGAATAATTTTTCATATCATTCATTCCATGATTGCTATGGACTAAATATAATTTCTTAATAAAATTAATCTTTATCATCATATTCATTTTATAGTACGATTACTTTAAATTTTGAAGTATTCCAATTATGATAACTAAATAGTGCTAGTTAACATATGATAATCAAATTGATTATATAGTACGATGTGCACCACACAATATAATGAATATATTTTTAAAATAGTTATATTAAATGTAAGTTAATATTATTGTAATAATACTAAAAAAATCACATAATATGACATATATCAATCTATAAAACTCAAGATTAGTTACTTATATCATATAAAGTAACCTTAATAAAAATTACATAAATTTAATTTCATAATTGAACATGAATATTGCATTATCGTTGATGTTTGAGATTGATTAATCCATGTTTCCCTTAAATCTATGATTACACTTGCAATTTTCCATCTTAGTTATTTGAAGTTGACCTAATCGACACCTTTTCTTGATTTCTAGTTTATTAAAAGAGATATTTTAAGTTATTCCTCCTTATTGGTTCTAAACTAAGCTTCACTTCCTCGGTCCATTAATTGATATCTTCATCACTTAAAATAACTAGAAATTTGTTCTTCATTTCTAGTTTAGACTGACCTAATACATGATTCAAGCATCATCAAATACTCATGGATATAAAAAATTTACTCATATTGATCAAATTGATGGAACAAATCATCATAGGAAATTTAATAAAGCTCTAATTATGCCTAATTTTTCCATGGTTTTTCCCAATTTATCTAATTAGATCATATTTACCCTATACCTTTCATATGTTAAGTAACATCCCCAGGAGCCAATTGAATCATTAAACCAACTTGATTTAACTAAGATTAAATAGGTTTAATTGAGATAAAGTGGATTTAATCCTTGAATTGGCCGAAAACATTATGCATGGAAAAATCCTTAAGATGTTAATGTTTAACCCATTTAATCTTTTAGTTTGGCTAATTTTGGTCAAATGAATCATAAAGACCCTATTTACAACCTTTTTTGTTCTGGCCAAAATGGCCTTCTTAGTGTCCATCTTTTTTGAATTCTCCTTTCTAGGTCACCCTCACTTGGAAAAGCAAAAGAAAAGGAAAAGACAGAAAATTGGCAAAATAATAATAAAAAAAAGATGACTAGATATGAATATATTTGCATAAAAAAATTCTCATTATATAAACTAAAGAAGAGCAGTCCAAAATAAATCAAACCTTAGCCAACCTAATCAAACATACCATAAATATCCTATAAAATGAAATTCATAACAAAACTAAAATATATTTGTTCTAAGCTCAAAGTGACCACTTATACTAACATATTATTGTACCTCTCACGATGTCGTATCCTTACTACAATTACATTCTAAGAATACTTTGGAAAACACATGATAAAAGATGTTGTGTTTGCAAAACAAGTTTTGAAGACTATGTAGTCAATGAGAATTTTCACGTCCTCATAGAGGAAACCTCCAATTATAAGTGCCAATTTAGGTCACCAAGTAGTGGTTGAAACAACTATTTTTGTTCTTTTTAATTTAGGATCTCTAGCTTTTTTAACTTTCAATTGATAATTCTTATTTTGAAATAACTCTCTTTCTTGGATCTTTGAAATGATTTAGAGAAGAAGAGGATTTAAAAGAGAGAGAAAACATAACAAAACTAGACAAACAAATTAAAAGATGCAAAGATTTTTTTATTAAGCAATCTTCGTGTGATAGATCAAGTGTGCATACACAAAATAAAATCAATTCAAAACACTTTGAATGCAAATACATGAAGAAAATTCTAAATAATAAACCTGCAATATAGCCAAAGAACCAAAATTTATAATTTTATTTTGGGATTAAGAGCAACTCCCAAAGAAAAGTGTCACTTTGGCTAATTACATATTGGGATAAACTCAATAATACTCTCGATTAAGAGAATCCAGCTTATAATTTGTGATACTATTAAATAGGATAATCAAGGATGTGTTTTCATCTCAAACATAGTTATCTCGATGCTTCAATGTCATATGGGACCATAGGGTAGATGGTGAATCACTGTATCCCATATGGGTAGTGGCATATGAGCAAACAAGGCATAGCATATGACATCAATTATATTTCAAAGAATGGAAAGGGCTCAAATAAGGTACATTAGTAAATATGTAAGGAATTCCTAAACAGTTAGATCAAGTCAAGATTATATGGATTTGTCATCTCAAGCTATTAAAACTCCAAATCTACATGATTGTAGAGGTAGTTGACTCAATAAACAAGTGATCCCTTGTTAGCAACTCATAAGTTGCATCATCCAAGAAATCTCAGTAGCCTTAAAGTCAAGTGAAAGAAACATCTAATTCTTTATGACCCTAGTTGGATGGAATTCATAGAAATTGGACTTATATTTTCAAAGATAATGAAAAGGAGGTCGTTGAATTGAAATAAAAAAGAACGGTTCAGCTATAAAGATGAATCATCCCAAAAAGGATTTAAATCATGTCCGGGTTGGGGAGCCTCTAACATCCTAGTATTACTAAACAACCACCTATGCATATAATATGCTTAACGAGCTCCTCTTTGGGACATGTGATCATGATATAGTTATCTGTATAAATCCTTAATAAGAAGACCCTATTAAAATGGCTTAGGATATATTTATGCAGGCGAAATGATTTTCAATCCAGCTCTAAGAACATGCAAGAAATGTGAAACATATAGTAAATTGTTGATTTAAAAGTGATATAACTTTAGTTCTAATTTTTAATTAAGATAACTCTTTTATGATTTTGTAGAAATTGTCTTTATCCTAGAGAGCCTAAGTGGAAATGCAAAGAGCTTAGACAAATCACAATCACATGAAATCAAAAATTTCAACATTACGCATAAAAAAAATAAACACACCACATGAATAACATAAATAAGAGGCTCGGGCCACTAGGTTGGCAACATATCTCAAAAAGAAAAAAAATTATGGTAAAGCTCCACATATACATACCTAATCATAGCTTTTATACAATAATATAAAATTATGATTAAGGTACGGGTTACAAGTAGTCCTCACTACATGGTTCCACACATCAAATGCCTTGGAACCCAAGCTCGCACAATATTTTGATATAGAATCCAACCTATGGACTCTAAAGAAAAAAAAAATAAAATACAAAAAAAATACACTTAACCTATATTGAAAAAGTTAGCTCAAGTTATTTCATGCAACTGTATAATGAACCATGTCCAGTGCAAGGAGGGTTAAACAACACCTGTAGCAATGGTAAACATTAAATTATAACGCTCCTTCATATTAGACATGACTCTCTGTAAGAATTGCCCCTAACA